ACATTATATAGTCTCCACTAACGTGACGTTTAGGCGGTTCGTTTAACGTTTTGGGGGTGGTTAATGAAAGTGTTCCAAAACGAGACATTAATTTATTGACGACCTAATATTTGATTACCAGTCAAAACAAAATTTTAATAACAAGCAAAGTGTTATCACTATCACAAATATAGACACAAAACTGTCTGTAACGTTTGAAATTCAGTAGAAAATACAAGTGTAAAAATATACTATTTAATTTGACAGAATAGAATCGTTGATTATTGTAAAAATAATAACAAATTAATAATTGTATTTTAAGCTGATATATATCCAATGGATGAAGTAGAAAAAAGGTGTAAGATGTGGTGATTTAAGAAGATTAAAACTGCAAGATTATATAAGCTATTTATTTAATTACAACTTATGTAGGTGGGCTAACAAACACATACTGAATTCATACATGCACCAAATTTAACACTTTTTGTTTTCTGAAAAGTTAAGAAAATTACGTGATCAAATGATTCAGTAAATCAAAGAATAAATAATAATAACATCACTTTGACTTTTTAATTTATGAATATAACAAGAAATACTGACAACAGGACATCCTTTCATTTTGATTAACATGACAAAATTACAAGAAATACAATGAAAGTAACATTCTTTTGTATTTTGATTTTCAACAATTATGATTTTTTCTTATCCTTAAATTACAAAAATAATTTGTGTACGACAGAATTTTCTTACCTAAAACTGTGAGGATACTGAATTTAACTAAAACTGTAGGCCAGTGTTTTTCAGAGATTGAAGGTTTTGTTTTGAATTTCGCGCAAAGCTACACGAGGGCTAGCCATCCATACTTTAGCAGTGTAAGACTAGAGGGAAGACTAGTCATCACCACCCACCGCCAACTCTTGGGCTACTCTTTTACCAACGAATAGTGGGATTCACCGTCACATTATAACACCCCCACTGCTAAAAGGGCAAGCATGTTTGGTGTGACGGGGATTTGAACCCGCGACCCTCAGATTGCGACTCGAGCACCCTAACCACCAGAGTTTGATGGAATATCATAGAAGTTTTGGCCTAATATAAATTTTTTTAACATTATACCAGATAATATAATTGTTATGAGTTCATTAAATATATTTTTCTTCCGAGTTCTTAATTATTACCTAATTCTATAAGAAGATTTTGTGCTTCAGTTAGCTAACTTACTTTAAATAGTTCATTCAGCTTTTAAGGTTTTGTAGTTATATGGTGTTGTTTTGGAGAGTCAAAAAATTGTACTAATGTTAACATAACGTTTTGGGACCTACTAATCCATCTCAGCTGTTCTATCCTCTAAACTAAACTGAAACTATATATTAGCTTGCGATTAGTGCAAGCTATCTATTTGGAGCTAAACTGATATCAGTAATGATTACAGCTAGTTTCATATACTTTTCTTACGTTATTATTTCTAGAAACTACAATACATTGTTTCACCAATTACGTACCTTCGCTGTTATCGACATTTTCGGCCATAATCCCAATAATACCTCACGAGATTCGGCCAGCTTAGGAGATTTTGGTTTTTCCTTAGTACATACAGTTTGTATATTAAGCTAACAACGCAAAAGAATATTTGTAATAAAAGTATAAAAATTAAAAAGTAATAAAATTAGATATATTAAACATTTTAACCAATACAAAGCCAAATGTCCATCTCAACAGACACCCACACTGGTTTTTTCTTATTGTATACCTTATTTTATTTTCAACTATGAAAACAGAAATGAAATGTTAGCCCTTTATAAAACATTTATATAAAAACGACTTCTCCTGTTGTGTAGTATCCATTTTTAAATGAATCTAGATGCTGATATCGTAGACACATATAAAAAAAAATGAGTAGACATATTTCTTTATTAAAAGTACTTCCAGTCATCGCAGGTGTTACACATGAGTATA